AGAGATATTCTTAACCATGCAAAAAATATGCAATATGTCACTTTATAATTTTATCTGTTTTTGATATAATTTTTTGGTATCGGCATCCGTGATCCGCGATCCGTCTCCTCTGTCAGCTGCCATGTATCAGTTTCAAACATTGTTGATTTTTAGGTTTAAAACGATATCTTCACTATTTTTATTTTTTACAAATATTGGTGCACTGCCAGAAATTACAATTAAAGTGAAGAAAAAAAATTCAAAAATAAATTTATATGTTTAATAGTTTTTGTCAAAGATACATGATATATATTTAACGAATATATATGTTTAATAAAACACTATTTTGACCGGATTGAAGTTATGTATTATTATAAATTTACAACTATTTAACATAATTTTAAATTTATCCGACGTTTCGCGTGCTTTACAGCGTGCGTGGTCACGGTGACATATACGGTGAATATATACTCGTATGTTGGAACAGTAGCACTGGTGTCAGCTGCCACTGTCATTACATGTCACAACGCTCGTAAATTAACAATGTCAAAGTCTTATCAGTTAATATTTGTGGTTAATTCGATTTGCCAATATTAATAGAACTACAAGTTTACAGACTTTTTGATAGTAATAGTAATTATTATTATTAATGACGGAGTAATGGCGTTACTGTCAACTGGCATTGTCATTATAATTTAATTTCAAATTAGTTTAAAACTCTTAATACTAGGGGTTTATTTGATTGTCAATGTTACTTGATCTATAAATTAGCGACTATCATTGGTCGATAATAATAATAGTGACTTAATAGTCATAATTATTATTAAAAGTAATTCCTAAAAAAAAGCCTATGACTCCGACATTAATAATAATGACTAGGAAATTACTATTGCAATAAACTATCAAATTTGTAGATCAAGTAAAGTCAAAGTCAAGAATCATTTATTCATACAGGTAACACAATGTAGGTACACTTATGAACGTTAAAAAATAAATATATATTAAATGCTTCAAATTTTACATTTACTGCCAGTTCTCAAATCAAGGGCGTAGAACGGAAGAGAAGAACTGGCAATAAACTACAAGTATTAACGGTAATAAACTGATATTACGTTGATAATAATTTAATGATTACGAGCTGTGACATATAATGACAATAGCAGCTGGTACTAGCGCCATTGCTCAGACATATACATAGCACATATAAATAATAAATATGTGAAGTTAAATCTTGAATACAAAAGTATAAAGCATTCGTAATTTTCGCTTCATAAAACCAGCTGAAGATTTCAAAATCGACGCCACGCATTCGCGTATATGAGCCGGCCTTTTCATATCAGATCCATTCATATCTGTTTCATCTTTTTAATTTCAGACACGAACAGCCGTTTCATTTGTATGTTCTCCGTAATGGAATCTGTTTTGCACTTTGGCGGATTTACTGACATCATTTTTATATTTGCAAAGTTTATGATTTTTATTTCTCCACTTACTTTTGATTGTAATCTTAAATATCTTAATAAGTTCTAATATTAACATTGGTAAATTCAAATTCGTTAGTTTACAACTTGGTTGCTTATCAGTAATAGGGGTCGGCGAGAGAGAACCAGGAAGAGAGAAGAAAGAAGTTCTTGTCTTACATAATATCCTGCCTTTGATTTTCACAGCGATGATTATGCCGTGATATTGAATATCAGTATCGGAACTGGTTGGTGTCGAAAAATCCTCGTACTGGATTTGTGTGCAGAGTTCAGATATTATCAAACGAATTTATAATTATTTTTTTCTGTTTCCTCCTCGAAGGGAACCCGCCATATCTCTGTTAGGTTACTTTCTGTTTTTTATGAAGTAGACAAAAGGGAAATAAAGGATAACTATTTGTTATTAGCTCGATTAAATTAAGATAATATAAGCTTTAGTAAAATAAATCTTAGACAGTACATGTTGCTACAAATTTTTATTTATATAATAATATTAAACAACCTCTTATTTGTTACTAACTTAAAAAAAAAACATGGCGATTAAAAAGAGTGGCGGAGAGTTTATTGCCAGTTCTTCTCTTTCGTTCTACGCCCTTGCTTTGAGAACTGGCACTAAATGTAAAATTAGAAGCATTTATATGTATTTCTTTACAGACAAGTCATAAGTGTACAAAGTGTTACTAATATGATTAAATGATTTTTGAATTTGAATTTACACTATATACATTTGACAAACCGTGACCGTGATTTTCTTGCGTGTATAACAAAAACTCTCTACCGCAAATGTTATTAATTTTTTAAAAATAATTTATTTTTTAATATTTGCGTGTAGACATTTATAATTCATTTCCTTAAATTAAAACATTTCCACCCCAACGAAGGGTTGGTATAGGAGACTGCATGGTGCTCCAAAATATACTATAGTAAGAGATATATATATATATATATAATAAAACTAACATATAAATGCATCTGCGCCATGCCTTATTGGGGAAATACAAGTCTATGTACGAGTACATGCGTATTTAACTTTTTCTATCTACCAATCCAGACAAATATTTGTTTTACGGGGATTTAAATGCCAAACTAAACTCCAAACCGCTAAGCTACGTCAGTGTTAAATTTTTATTGTTAAAATATAGTTAAAATTTTATCTTTTTATCAAAAAGACCATACCATTAAGCGGTAAAATCAAACGTTAAAAAAGAATCTTTTATACTGAAATGGCACTTGAAACGTTGGAAAAAGGCTTTCATCTCGATTCCACTGAGATATTTTCTAACATTTTTCCATCTCTGAATATTCCGTATAAATATCAACCCCTCCCGCATTCAATTGTTATTCCTATTTTTCTGAATATGTGCGGAATCGTTACTAGTGGAGAATACAATTTTATTGTGCATTTACGACCACGACGGATGTTTAGGTAATCGACAGTTCATGTTTATGATTTTGTATGAAACAAAGTCGATTTAGTTTTATTTTTCAATGTATACGATATTGTTAAAACATTTAAACAAAAATTTTGTAGTTTTTAAAATCTTTCTTTTTACAGTGGTACTAAGAAACAAAAATAAAAAGAACATATTTAGTAATTTTCACAAATCACCTTTCAAAAAGGCAAAGTTTCACAGGCAAATATTCTACTGTGTTTACCAACCGGTAACAAAAAGTGTTTCGCAGGAATTAAACTCAAGTTTCACGGTCGATAACTATTCTACGCGTTTACAGAATACCCTAAACCACTGATTTAACCATATAAAATCCCTCCAATTTTACAGTTCCAACAAACGTCCGTGCGTTTGAACACCTTTTTTTACTGATTCATACAAAATATGCGTAGTTTGGGAGACTAATTAAACAAAGAAATAATAAAAAACTTTATATTGAAAGTAAAACCAGTGTAGAACTTATTTTCACGAATAAGTAGATTCTGTATCGACGTTAGCACTATTCTGAATTTACACGAAATGTCACTATGTCTAGGAATATCATTCATAGATGAAATTCCTACTGAACGGGAGACTACGGAAATACCCCATCAGGTGTGCTTTAATAACTACGCTATACACACCCGTAATTTCAACTGTCGATAAAGAATACAATATCTTTGATTTACGCGAGTTTTTATTTTTAGTAAAATATAATATGAAAGTAACATTTGGATATATACTAGAACAGTTTAACAGATAACAAAACGAATAATTATATATGACAGCCGAACAAAAGGCGATTATTTATAAGATTATTATTAGATTTATATAACTTTTTTTAATTTTTAAAGGCCGGCAACGCACTTGCGAGCCTTCTGGCAATGAGTGTCCATTGGCGGCGGTATCACTTAAGGTTAAAGGTTGGTGGACTCAGATTCCGTAATTAGACTCTCACTAGGTCCATTGTGCGCTATCACTAAACATCAGGTGAGCATCCTGCCCGTTAGCCTCCTATTACATAAAGTCAAAGACAAAAATCATTTATTCATATAGGTAACACAATGTACATTTATAAACATCAAAAAAGACATACATTAAATGCTTCTAATATTACATTTACTACCAGTTCTCAAATCAAGGGCGTAGAACGGAAGAGAAGAACTGGCAATAAACTCTCCGCCACTCTTTTTAATCGTCAAGTTTTTTGTTTTACACAAAGTTTGTAAGCTGCAACCATTACACCATGTTCCACATGACATCTTATAAATAATAATAAAATAAATTAAAAACAAAGATTTGTCCTCTATCAGCAGGAGGCATGGTAAAATAGGAGGATAAAAAAATAGACAACAGAAAAAATCATTAAATAAAGATACATATTGTAATAATCGTCGTATTAACTTGTTATAAAAGTAAAGGAGTAAAATCATCGACATTAGCTTAAACGATACAATATCGAGAGTGAATGTTATGTAAGTATTCGTTCAGGAAGTTATATTTAAATACAACAAATTTAGGGAAGGGCACACAATAGATATTTAAAAAATAAAAAATATATACTTGGGTTCACAATATATGTACTATTTGTTGGAAAACTCGACTGAATTTTTTTTTCAATTGTATTTGGAAAGTAATTAGAAATAGACATAATATTTATTACTAACAAAAACAGACACACATTAACACATAAAATAACAGTAATCGAAGAAAAAATATAATTAAATTTTTTTTTTCCCTTTTCCCATTCGGTTCGTTTCAAGTGTGTAATGCGTGTGTGTTGTGACTGTAATTGGATCTGGCTCAGCATTATGCTGAGGAGCAGAATGTTCCACAGCGCTGATCATTCTGCAAGTGACCACAGCAGCTAGTTTGCCGTTTAATTAGGGGCCCGTCCTTTGTTGTCTCGAGACCTCTAAATCCGGCATTGTTAAAATGTGTAGTATTCGCATATACCAAATATTAATAATAATAATAGCCTTTAATTCAGATACATTAACATTTAAACATGTTTGTATTTGCCAAAGGCCTGCTCCATATCCTTCCATTCCTCTCGGCACTGTCTCTGCCAATACCACCACCTACTGTTTCTTTAATTTGGTCTATCCGCCTAAGCTGTCTTTTTCTTTTTCATTTGCTGTACGTTGGGCAGCAGTTTAGTACTTTTTTTGCTCCACTTTTCTATTCCCCTTGCCATGTTCCCTGCCCATTTCCACTGAATTTTACTTATTTATAATATATTTTTTTTATTTAAAAATAAAGAAACTGAAAAAATCCCAAACTCTACTATTAAATATTCTATGTTTGTTTAGCCAGTATTGGTGAAGGCTTTTTCCTTCATAGTTGTCAATTCACGCTTAGTTCAATATGGAGTAAAACTTGGCGTTGCGCCATGACCGCTCGCTACCACATCCTTGAATTAATTGTAATAGGTAAACCAGGGTAAACGGCGTGTTGGTAGAAGAAAAAATGCTTTCGTAACGTTAGGGAGTGTACAGGTTCTACGACTGCAGAAGAGATGCTGCATCTGGCTCAGAACAAGATACGCTGCACGTGACTGACGGCCAACCTACAGTAATGGAGAGACACGAAAAAAGAAGACAGTGCCAGCGCCCATTAAGTGTTGGCACTTCCCTCATTACATCCCTTGGAAATAATACTAAAACATAAGTTTTTTATGTAACAGGAAATATAGGTTATAAATGATGTATTTTTTAACTGAACAATAAACGATAAACAAAACCTTCCCTTTTCTTCTTTAGTATTTCCCAATATTTACGTGATTTATTATGTCATTTATGAATAATAGCAAATAAGAAGTCACAAACTTAAAATATCGCCATTACTTGATTAGTCACCAATATAAATTAAATTGGGAACGTAAAGTTCGAAAACATCAGTTGTAATAAACGTTTAAGTTGTTGAAAGATTAATCGAAAATGCCAAGTTCGTCTTCCCAAGCGTTTCTCATTTATTAACCCAAGAAATCGTTTCATTTGACACATGGAAGAGACAGCGAGGCGCCTTTAGATACTAGTAATTCGTCCAGGTTTCTCATAGGTTTTCAATTCTGTATATAGCATACATATTTGATCAATTTATTGGTAACGAAACATTTACCATCTTAATATATATAAATTACGTGTCACGTTGTTTGTCCGCTATGGACTCCTAAACTACCGATGCGATATCAGTCAAATTTGCACACCGTGTGTAGTTTGATCCAATTTAAAAGATAGGATAGCTTACAATTTACATCTCAATTTATACCCGCAATATTATTTTATTGCAAAATATTTGTTTATTATTTGATAGTCACAATTCTAACAGATGGCGCTGTGTTGAAAGTACCAACGTTTCACATTAGCAACAATTTAATGGCATAACCACCAAAAAAGCATGGTGGTCCCCATGACTGGTGTTCTCCTACCGTTTCCCTTGAATAGTTAACTACTATGTAATATAGCAAAAATCTTAGCCACAGCAACGCTTGGCCGAGTCTGCTAGTTATTTATATATTACAGAAATACATACCTTATCCTTATAGACTATGCCAATACGATAATGTCGGGAAACATTAAATAAAATATAATACAGTACATATAAAATATTACACACATAATATACACAATATCGCTACTGTGAATTCACTCTGCAAACATATAAATATGTCGGAGACAGCATTCAGTAGGCGCAATGTCTTTGATAACGGGGATCTGTGCAACAGTCTGGGTCTTGCCCTTGGTATCGCAAATATCCCATAGAAACCCAGTTATGGGGGTAAACTTGAGTTGCACACTACACCCCTCAAGACTTTCAGTACGCAGTAGGCCAACTGTAAGTCTGTATCTAGATTCCTTGTCTTTATAGTAACAGCAGCGAATGATGTAAAAACTTCTCGTTACGAGACTTCATAGATAGAGTGTTGCCCATTAATAAACGAAACTATAACTAACGCCATTTTTACGTAAGACTGGCTACAGCGATATAGCACTTCACTGCTGCTTTAAAAATCCTACACACACAATACACACAGTATTGCTAATATAGAGAAATTAAACTGCATTATCTGTAATTTAGTTAATTTTTTGGCTTAAAATTATTTAATATTTATAATCAATTTGAACGTATAATCTTACGCATTGCATCGACTTCAAGAATTAGAAGCCTTTCTTATATATTCAACGTCATAGAAAACGTTACCATTTTTCTTCGTGTGACAAGACGTTTTTCAATGATCGCTCGTAGAAATTTAGATAGATCTATGCCAAAGAATTTTATAACTAAAACGACACTTAATTATAAGTAATTAAAACTTTCCAGATGACACTGGGTAACGCAACAAATAATTTTAGTAATTCAGCTACGTTTGCGTCAACTATTAATATATATTTTATAAAAGGACTGTCATCTTAATTATGCGATAAATTAATCAACTTACGACATCGATAAGCTGGCTCAATTTAAGCTTAATGCAGACTCGAAGCACATCCGTTGTGTTGACTACAGGCCTCACTAATTTGTTGTAGTTCGACAACAGATCGTCGTATAGGCGTTTCGCGTCAGGATTGCCAGCGGCGACGGCTCGGAGGCAGCAAACCGCCAGCAACCAGACGAACGAGGCCATCAGCTTGTCATTACGTGTCGCACGGCCGGGGCGCGGCGCGGAACTGACGGAGTGAGGACGCTAGTGTGGACTGTGGAATCGCAGTGTGCGATTTAAGGGAGTGATAAAGCTATTTTCATGTGAAATCACAGTGAAGCGATTAAAACTGTTCTGATATACGTTTTTTACTTCCGCTGTTTAGATCTTGTATTTAATGATCGGTAAAATATGTTTATTATGGAACATAAGATACAGGTATCAGTCATTAAATTTGAATCGGTAGACATCCCTACTCATCGGTAAAGAAGACAGAGGGTGTAGGCCGAGCGAAAAGCTGGCGTAAAAAACTCTCGGTACTCTTTTAAAATAGCAAATTATCAAACAACACTTATTTTAAAACAAATATCGCTAATTAATTAAAAGCAGCCTGTCAAGCACTAGTCCCAGGCCCTTTTACACAGCTTTTCTTTAATGCGTTTCTTAAATTTATTAAAAGGCAAAAAAGGTTATATATTTGAAATATAGTCAGTTTTTATCGAGCTTTTTCGCTGGTTTTACAGTGTTTGGAATGAAACATAAATTTCTACGAAGACGCGTTATATTTTTTTTTGCGACTGGAGTCCCATTTACCAATGAGATATAAGAGCATACATAACTACAGTACATTAATCACTTTTAAAATCAATACCAGTATAGTTGCGCGAGAATCGAAGCCAGGAACGCCTGATACACCATGTGCCGACTAAATACGGAGAGGTAACTGATGAATAAGATGAGATACTCAATAAAAGACAGGAACGATCTATTCTTTGGTTAAAAATTAAAGACAAAGTGAAAAGCAGCCTGCGAAGCCTTACAAAAATAACGCTTAAAAATCTTAAAGTGGAAATGGGCCGTGCACATTGCCCGTGTTACGGATAATAGATGGGTCAAGTCTTCTGATGAGTATGGCCCAGTGGGAATAAAAATTACCATAAACTTATTATAATCCTTATTATAGTACTCAAATATATGTTTCATTTTTAAACATTAATATTAGTTTTATTTCAAATTTTTAATGATAAATATCACCTGTGATTTAATTAAAATGCTACCCATCCCTATGTGTTTGTGGGACCTCCCCTCACTCCGCACCAAGCTAGCGCCCTGAAATCGCCGATGCGAATTCTTTCGCTGTTACTTTGAACTTTTATAATAAATTTTATTGGGCTTCACGTCGGTAACTCTAATAGTATTATATGTTTCCCGAAAGATTCTTCTTCATTTACCGAATACGTTTACGCCTTTTAAGCTTCAGGTAGAAAATATTATTCGGAAAAAATATTCTCAAAATTTGCTATTTTGCCTCTTGGTTAATAAACTGTTCTATTAGTTATCTTAACGCGTTTTCTTCAAAGTAACTCTACTATCCGTACGATCCTTTTGTAATTACACGAGATATTGTCCGTCGCAGACATAGAAAAGTCCATCTGAATCTAAACGGGCTTCGAACCCTTGATATTAAGTAAAAGGCCCGCATGTATAACCACTAGGCACCTCTGTATGTCGAATATTATATATTTACCTTCATATAGTATTTTTATCAAGCCTTTATTGCTGGCACCCAGTATAATATATTATCACTTATATTACATTAATTAAATAATAAAACTTAATCTAATACATCATGACCCGTTTTTGGTAATCAGCATGTCCTGTGACACATAGCCTCTTCCAGCTGCTTCCATTCTTTTCTGATGTTAGCTCTTCTTGTCCAAGTTGTGCCTCCTATTCTCTTTATATCGTCTGCCCACCTCTTGCTCTGTCTTCCTCTTTTGCTTTTTCATATGAAAATGTAGTATAAAAATAAAATATCTTAATGATTCTTCCAAGTTTCTTAGTTCAGCAGCTTAGCAAGACGTAGAACACTTTTCAGGAAATACGAGGTACAGATGTGTGAGTTCGAAAAGTGAGTTACAGAATCGCAAGGCTGTAAGTAGAAAAATTTAAATTTGTTGCCAGTTTAATATTTTTATGGAAATCATTTAAATTGCCAGATGACGCCAAAAATAAAATACACCAGGTAAATTTCTCTCTAACTCTCTTCTCTCGTGGTAGGATTGGTTATAGAATCGGGCACACACTTGTGCTCTATAATATGAATTAGCTATCAAAGGAATAGAGAACAATGAATACGCAAATTATTCGATTCATGAGTATGTCCCAATGGATTATAGAAATTTTAATGGTATAGCAATTCCATATTTAAGTGAAGATTGTTTTGAACATTGTTTATGAAATATGTGCAAAAAAAATATTTAGAATTTGCAAGCTGGCGCCTTATTTTGTGCGCAACGGGTAAGTTGGTTGAAATGTCAGACTGACATTGTTTATTTTCTGTAATTTCTTGGTGCGTATAATAAATAATTTTACTATCAACCAATATCTAACAAAAGTATATATGTATGTATGTATATATTTTTATATTTTGCATTATTAATTACACTGGCAAAGTTTTAATTATCGAACGGTTCTGATTGCTAGGTATCTTAAAAGGTATTATATTAATAGTACAGGTATTAAAATCTATCATATCATTTGATGCTAAATTTATGTTACATTTATTTAAGCCTAGAACTGTATTATTGATACTAGTAAACATTGTTTTATTAAGACATTTCAATAAATTAAGTTAGCCTGCATGACTTCAAATTATTCCCCATTAATGGTTAATTTTTATTCACTGGCAATACTAATATCCATGATAGCGACGCTCTTACCGGCCAAGAAAAGTATGTGGCACTGCACCACAATGAACAATTATTATGTACGTCAATTCTCAAATTAAGTGCTTCTAAATAGACATTTACTGTCAGTACTCAAACCAAAGGAGTAGAACGGCCTATAAAAACAATATTTGTTCATCCACTATTAAAAAAGAAATTCTCTCTTCACTGAGACTTCATAAAACAAGTCATCAACTATGTATAAAAACAAACGTTTAGCCTGTATCAATGTGAATCAATAATTGATATACACACACACACACCAATCCAAGCCTGGTCTCCAGAAGTATCACCCATAACTTATTTGTTATTATATTTCTACAAAGATAAGATTTAAAGAGATTTATGTTAATATTTTAGCAGATTTAATCGTATAAATTGTTATAGTGGAAGCTTGCCACTAACCGAGCGTTAATATGGAAAAGCGGACGAAGTAAAAATTAAACAGTTTGAACATTCTGAGAACGGATTTATGACAAATGAGGCCAAAGATAAAGCAAAGGCCCCGTGGCCCATCTGACAAATCTTTACGCATGTCATATCGGATAATTTATCTCTATATCTAAAGCGGAAATTATGGAACGTTAATACGTTGAGTAATGGCAGAAGCGGTGTAGAATGTATTAATATTTATTTATTATTAAAAGCTTACCAACGCTAGGAACGCTCATATGTTGGTACAAGAAAAACAAAATACAATATTTAAAGTGACACGCACATATAGGCACATAACATACACGTAGAGGTTAAAAAATTAAATTACAAAAACTATAGGGAAACCGATTTCAAAGTGTGAGGGGAGCAACAAAGGATATCCAGACCTGGATCGTTTGTCAGAATGCTCCATCTTAATATAGGTTTCGGCCAAAACGGGTTCTTCTAAAAGGACAAATGGCATGATGGGCTGCCTACATAATATATAATGTTTTTTTTAAATACACAGAATTTATAGTAGTGGTGTGGTAATGAAGTAAAGGTAGGGCCCTGATTATTTTGCCTCTGGCTCCGAGACTGGTACTTCGAATACCTGCCGCGAAATAGGGCACGATAAAAGCACAATTATGTGGTGCATACACAGTGCAGGTAGAATATTATAGTACTAGCTTATTCATGTGATTTTGTCCGCATACCGTGTCCGCATGTCCGTAGACCTTTGCGTGAAGATTTCATGTGATAAACAAAAACTTCATTCATTATTTAACGCAATTGCGTTCAATTACCCGATACCTTTATTGTTTCGCTGGGAATCAAACCCAGAATGTTTTGTTTATGTACGGATTATACAGTGCAGATGTCTTTCGGTTGTAATAACATAAACACTGCTTTAAAAAACAGTATTAAACGAAGAGCGATTCAAATCATCGACTTACTAACTTTCCAAGTGACTTGATCGCTTGGCGTTGCGTAGAGATGTGGGGCCTCACTGTATCTTCCACCGCATTTACCATGGTGAGTCTCTCCAGTATATTAAACGAAAAAACTCCTCTGAGAGTTTTATCGTTTAATATCTGTAAGCTAAGTTACATCATTGGACGTCCGTCGTTCCACTAGTTTTTGGGCACCACCACCATGTGGAATTACCTGCACACTAAAGTATTCCGCTAACGCACTTGCGAGCCTGCTCGCAATGTGCATGGGCATATCACTTAAGATCAGATGAGCATCCTGCCCGTTTTCCCCGTTTTATAAAAAAACACAGTCTGACACGCCGTCAACTTTTTAAGTTTTTAGGCAAACAGTTTTTATTGTATTGATCATTTAGGTCGATACGGGAAAATTTAATTAAATATTATCATAATTATTTTGTAATATAATAAATACTCCTATGATTAATTTAATTATCTTATTTAATGATGAAATAGGTAATTACTTATTGAATTTCAAATTGAGTAGGTATTGCGTAAACTGAATATTTATTAAAGAGGAAAATTTTTGTCCTATTAATTAAGACAAGATTTTCCATCTCTCGAAAACTTGCAAAACGTTTTCCATGTCATCTTGACTAAAGGGTCTGTCATCTTAAAATCATCTCTGGAAATTTTGATCGACTTTTCTTGTACCAAGCTCTTTACTTATAAATATCTGACGAACTCGGAAAATCCATTATCGAACGCCTATAATCATTTTACTTATATGATATATAGCGCGGTGTCAAGATAAATTAATAGTTAGTAGTAGCTGTGTAATTAGACTTTATCAGGAAGTTTGTAAGCGCGGCGTCTTAAATTACCGTATAAGATAATTGTAGAACCAGCT